TTTTTTGCGGAACCGGGGATTGAACTCAGGCCCTTGCACTTGCCAGGGAAGCGCTTATTCCACTGAGCCATCTCACCGGCCCCTTTCAGATCTATCTAAACATGCCCTTCAAATCCCTCCCCTGGCAAAGGTCTTAAAAGTCTCAGCCTTCCTTTGTCCAGTTCAGAGAATTCCTTGACCTCCCCGAATTCTCTTCATGTCCTCAAAGAAAATAAAGCACCTTTCCCTTTTTCCTTCTGCCTGTTTCTCTGCTGCACTGTTCACCTGAAAAACAACTATCACCCTATATGTTATAGAACAGAGTCTCTGTAGATCAATGCTCAAATCTTTTTTTTTTTGGTGCCAGGAGTCAAGCTCAGGTGCTATACCTCTGAGGTATATCCCCAGCAGTGCTCAAATAAAATGGTGCCTGGGAAATTTCTGTGTGCTGAAGCTAGATTCTAATTTAATATATTCTCTCTCTCTCTCCCTCCCTCCCTTCCTCCCTCCCTTCCTCCCTTTCTTCTTCCCTCTTCTCTCCCTTTCTCCCCTTCTCCCCCTCCTCCTCTCTTAAATGTGGTCTCCATATGTTGCCTAGGTTGGCCCCAACATTGGACCCTCTCACCTCAGCCTCTTAAGTAGTAGCTGAAACTATTAGCACATGTTACTGCGACCAGATTCATGGTTTTTTGGGGGAAGAAGGGTCTGGGTTGGTTGATGTTAAACTTAGGACACCATCTGATCTATCTGAAAATTCTTGAAGAAACAACACACACACATACACACACACATGCACTCTCTGTTTGCTTACTATGTAGCCCAACCTGGCCTTAAATTTATTGTGATCATCCTCCCTTAGCCTCCCATATGCTACCATGCCTGGCGTTAAGTCAGAATTTTTTTTTTTTTTTTTTTTTTTTTTTTTTTTTGGTACCAGGGATTGAACTCCGGACCCTGTGCTTGCCAGGCAAGTGCTAATTCTACTGAGCTATCTCCTTGGCCCTTTTTTTATTTTTATTTTATCTGTATTTTATGTTTTTAACTTTTTTTTAAACTCAGAAATTTTTAACTGAGGCGTTTTATGAAGGGCCTAAGAATTGTTTTTGTTTTACAGGAGTTTTCTTCTCGTTCTTTGTTTTAAAGAAAAGTCCCTAGCATTTTGTTTGATTTAGTTTTCGTATTCTTTTTCATTCCAGGGTCTTCAATCCAGGGCCTTTTGCGTGCTAGACAAACACTTTACCACTGAGCCACACTCCCATCCCCCAAGTCATCTTAGTAATCAGTTTGGTACTCACTGGTCTAGACGCTAATGTATTATGGATGCATTGTCTCACACAAACATGTGAGTGGGCCATTAATGTAGCTGCAGTAAATGTTTTGATTAGTGATAATTGTTTAAAAGGGTAGGGCTGCTCAAGCCCAGCAGGTTTGAGAGCAGCCTGTGCAACAGTGAGAACCTATCACATAGAGAATTTTAATTCATCTTCCTAAAGTGTACCTTTAAAAAATTTATTTTATGATACTAGGGATTGACCCCAGGGCCTTCACGCTGAGCTGTATCTCTAGCCCTTTTTTATTTTTTATTTGGAAACAGGTTCTGACTAAGTCACTTTAAGTTGCCCATGCTAGACTCAAACTGTTAATCATCCTTCCTCAGCCTTCCAGAGTAGAATGACTACAGGTGTGTGCCAGCACTCCTCACCCCAAATTATATACTTTATGGAGGCAGAGATCATTTCTCCCTGGTTTATAGTTAACATTCTTTGTGTGTGTGTGTGTGGTGATGGGCATCATCAAATCTAGGGTCTTATACATACTAGGCAAATGCTGCACCCCTGAGCAATACTCCATCCCCCATAGTTATATTCTTGGCATCTGGAACAGTACTACAAACAATGAATGAACCATTGAATACTATGAAGAGCTTATCAGAGCCAGGTATATAGCCCAGTGGCACAGGCCCCTGCCTGGCAAGTACAAGGTCCTGAGTTTGATTGCCAGTACCAAAAAAAAAAAAAAGTTAAAGAGTCCATGAATTTTTATCACTTAGGAGGGTGAGGCAGGAGGATCATTGTGAGTTAAAGCCCAGCCTGGGCTACAAAATGCGCTCAAGGCCAGCCTGAACTGCATAGCAAGACCTTGTCTCAAAAAAGACCAAAAAAGTTTACCAATAGACTCCATTGGGAAGTTTCTTTCTATAAGACTAATCTTTTTCAAAAAATAGTTTGTGGGTTGAATCCTGGAAGGGAAAAGGAATGAGATTGGTAAAAGGGTGAAATAGAACATTTTAAGTAGTGAAATAGTATGAGCAAAGGCAGACAAGCATAGAACAGAACAGTAGTAGATACTTCTGGAATTTTTTCAGAAACCTAATAATAGAAAAGGCATGTTTAAAAGCATGTGACTATGAAGTGTTCTCGGAGCTTTGTTTTATGTACAAATTTTTGTGCATGTGAGGAATAAATACAAAATATGCCCATGCTGATGGAAAACTGTTGGTCTGGCTTTTGTGTCCATACCCTATTGCAAGACCTGTTTGAAGCTTTGTGTGCCTCAGACCAAATTTAGTCATTCTTACTCTGTGTGCATGTAGGATGGTAGTCATAGCTCTAGCATTACATTTATTTCAGTTTGATTTGACTAGTAGCCCTGACTATGCCTTTACTAATTTTCAGGGAATAGCATGTATTAAGCTTTCGCTGAATGTTTGATTGAGGACTGAAGGTATAGCTCTGTGGGATAGCACTTGCCTAGCATGCATGAGACCCTGAGTTCATCCCTAGTACTGCAGTGAATAAAAAAAGGTCGTTTGCTAATCAGACAATTGGATATTTATACCCTGCATTATCCATGTCAAGTAGAAATTGTGTTCAGATTCTGTATCCTTTTCTCTTACAGCTATTTGTAGTGGATGTCAAGACAAGCCAGATCACCAAGATCCCCATTTTGAAGGACCGGGAGCCTGGAGGTGTGACCCAGCAGGGTTGTGGCATCCATGCAATTGAGCTGAATCCCTCTAGAACGCTGTTAGCTACTGGAGGAGACAACCCCAACAGTCTTGCTATCTATCGACTACCTACCCTAGATCCTGTGTGTGTGGGAGATGTAAGTTTTCTCAATAGTTGTAAGTAGAGGTAACCTTGCTTTTAAATAGGGACAAGTAAGTAACATGGATCTTTTGTCCACCTGGGTGGAAGTGGTTTCCCTTAGATTTCTGTTGATCCTAAGAATATCAGGTGAGGTATAGGGGGATGATAGAAGAGGGACTGGACTCCATGTACAACAAGCATGTTGACAGAAGAGCTCTGCATGCAAGGGACATGTTACCTGCAGTAGTACCTTTGTCTTTCCAGCATTGAACCTCAAGAAAGATTGTAAGGGGCCAGTGAGATAGCTCAGAGGCTTAAGTGCCTTCCTGGCAAGCACAAGGTCCAGAGTATGATCCCTGGTACCGTAAAAAAGAAAAAAGAAAGATAGTAAGGCTGAGTACTGTGGCACTTTCATATAATTCTGGTTGCTCAAGAGACAAATGCAAGACAATCTAAGATTCAAGTGCAACCTAGGCAATTTAACAAGACTCTTTCAAAACAAACAATATAAACTGAGATTACACATGTAACCTGAGCACTCTGAGAGGCTGAGGGAAGAGGATTATGAGTTGAAGCCTAACCTGGGCAATTTAGCAACTTACTGAGATCCTTTCTCAAACAGAAAAATTTGAAAAGGCCAGGAATGTAGCTCAGTGTGAAAGCCCTAGGTTTCAATATATAGTATGATCAGGAAAAAAAAAGGTGAAGATTATGTGTTGAGATCAAGCCCTATGGGTTGAGACCACCAGGGACCACAGTTGTAATTTTCTCAAAGACATTTGTATCAGTCAGATTTGAATGTTTTGAAGAGAGTTCATTATAATCATATTTTACTGATTTACTTTTGTTTCCCTTCCTGTACCTGTCATTCTTCCCTCCAAGGATGGACACAAGGACTGGATCTTTTCCATTGCATGGATCAGCGATACTATGGCAGTGTCTGGTAAAGTTACCTTTTTTAGAGAGCTTTTGGTATGGCAGGGACATAGGGTTAGAGTTTGAGGTGCAGTGGTAGTATTTTAGGAAATAGCCTGAAAACAACAGAAATCCAGAACTCGTGTTTCCAGTGTTTGCTCTTCCTCTGTCACCATGCAACTGGATGTATCATTTCCCCTGTATCATAACTTTCTTATCTGTAAAGTGGAGATGTTAGCATATTCATCTATTGTCTATACTCTTACCTTGTTTCAAAAGAATGTATAAATAGCATGTTGTGGCTAGACACATTTTTGTTGGACTTCATTGAGATTATGGTGGTGAATGTGTTTTGGAAATGTGGGTATGATATCCAGAATATTAGAAGCAGTTATTAGCTGTACCACTTAATAGCATTAAATGTCTTACTGATAAATCTGCATAGGGTTTGGAGGATTTCTTTTCTAGTGGTTAGAATAATGGTAGGGAGGGAAGAGAGTAAATGCATGCAGAAAAATTAACCTACAGAATCACCGATCCTGTCTATGTTCTGCAGCCTAGAAAGTTGGCTCAGAAATGCTAACCAGCTTTGTTTAATACCCATGGATAAAAATATAGTCTCCCTCATTTCAGATTGAGCTGAATCTCTCTAGAATGCTGTTAGTTACTGGAGGAGACAGATAATCAGTGGTTACCAAACTTAGTACTTCACATACATTATTTCATAAATTCTTAAGAATAATACTATAGGTTTGCAAGAGTAGCTTCATATCATAAATGAGAATTTTGTTTGTTAGTTGTTGTTTTGAGACAGGGTTTCACTTTGTAGTTGAGGCTGGCCTTGAATTCATTATGTAGCTCAGGCTGGCCTTCAACTCCCAAGTGTTTCTCCTGCCTCAGTCTCCCACAGTCTAGCATTATAGGTGGCATGGGTCTGCGTTCAAGTGGATTCTCAATCATTTCATCACCCCATGGAATAAGAGCTTTTAAGATAGGAGCAGAGTCATGTCATACTTATGGGAGACCCTCATATGAGAATAATTTGAATAAATTTGGCTCAGGGGAACCAGAACTTAGGTTAGTTTTGAATACCTATCTTGGCCTGTGGAGATAGGTGGTCTAAGCACATGCCTGGCAAGCACGAGGACCTGAGTTCAATCACCAGTACCACAAGCCGTGCCAGCATTGGAACCCAAAAGGCCAGCACTGAAGCTGGGTGTGGTGGCAAATACCTGTAATCCCAGCGCTGAGGAGGCTGAGACAGGAGTATCACTATGAGTGTGAACTGTGTAGTGAGATCCTGTATCAAATAAGTAAAAAAGAAAAGAAAACTTCCCATCTCTTTTAGACACTCAGGGAGTATCTTGTGTTCTTGGGCTGATAGTGTCTCCATCTGCATGTCTGGAACAGTATAGACAAGTTTAAAACATGAGCTGTGCCTCAGGCTTACAATCCTGCCTCTAGAGTACAGGAACTATAGGCATGTGGAATCATACCCAGTTCACTGTGGTTTTTGTGAGACAGGATCTCACTATGTCAGTGATGGCAAAACTTTTAGACCTATTAGTGATAATAGCCATCTCTGGCACGCGTACCATACATTTGCCACCACCACACTGTGTTCCAGGCTGGCCTCACACCCACAATTCTCTTGGCTTAGCATTCTGAGTCCTAGTACTATAGGTGTGATACTATAAGTATCAGACCCAGCTAATATTAGCTACTCATTTGCAGTCAAGAAGGTATTAGAAATTTAACCCAGAGCCTTTGCACTGAGATACATCTTCAGTTCTTTTTAAAAAAAAAATTTTTTTAAATTTCTGTATAGAAAAGTCATGGTGAACCTATGGCATGTGTGTCACAGTGAACTATTTGTTATCATTAAAAGCAGGCTGGGTGGTTTAAGTGCCTGCCTGGCAAGCACAAGGTTCTGAGTCTGATCCACACTATCACATGCCATGCTGGCCCCAAAACTGGGCATAGTGGTACACACCAGTAATCCCAGACCTGGTAAGGCTGAGACAGGAGGATCAATACAGAGTCTGAACTGTGTGGCGAGACCCTGTACCAGATAGATAGATAGATAGATAGATAGATAGATAGATAGATAGATAGACGGGCAGACAGGTAGATAGGTAGATAGTGCCGAGACCCTGTACAAGATAGATAGATAGATAGATAGATAGATAGATAGATAATGTAAAAAAAAAATATTTAAGGGCCAGTGGTATATATAGCTCAGCAGACTAAGCGCTTAGGTAAGTGCAGGGGCCAGGGTTTGATCCCTGGCACCTCATTCTGCGCAGGCACTGCCCCTGGGCGTGCTGAGGCGGCAATGGAGTCCAGCCATGGTGATGCATGCCTGTAATCCCAGCACTAGGGAGGCAGAAATCAAGAGGATCACTATGAGTCTGAGCTGTGTAATGAGACCCTGCACACACAAAAAAGAAAAAACCTTAAAAAAACTTTAAAATGTTTGCCAACCAGGTGTGGTGGCACACTGCTGTAATCTCACACTTGGGAGGCTGAGACAGGAGGATCCCAGTGTGTTTGAGACAGCCAGGGCTACAAAGTCAACTCTAGGCTAGCCTGAACTACATAGTGAGACCCTGTGTCAGAAAGACAAAAAAAAATTATCACTGATACAGTGTCTCACCAAGTTACTCAGTTTGGGCTTGGTCTTGTGATCCTGCTGCTAGTATTACAGATGTGTGCCACCATGCCCTGCTTATTTGCCACTCTTGACATTTGGGCTAAATATGAATATTACCCATGAACATTGTGCCTCAAAGTTGGTATGTTCAAAATCCTTACCTCTATTTTAACTCTTGGCCCTTCTGGCCATGAGATGTATTGGCTTATGCTTCCATCTCCCAGCTAGGTCAACCACCAGAAAACTAAAACTCATCTTAAGGGTGGAAAGTGTAGCTCAGTGGTAGAACTTAGTGTGCATGAGGCCTTAGATTCAATACCTTGCACTGCCCAAAAGAAAAAGAAAGAAAAAAAATTAACACTTACTTTAGGCTTTTCAATCTCCTTAAATTACTAAGCCATGTTGATAACTTTTTTAAAATATCCATTAATTTCTTTTCTACCTTCTCAAGTGTCCCTCATCTACTCTTGAATTATGCCAGTGTCGTTTTGTATTTTCTGTCCATTTCTGTCCTTTCTTACACCTACCCAATCTTTATCTGGCTGCCAAGTTAGTACTTGAAATAATACTCTCCATCTGGATGTGGGTGTGACACTCCTATGATCCCAGCACTCAGGAGGCTAAGGCAAGAAGGATTGCTATAAGTTTTGAGGCTACTCTGGGCTACATAGTGAGTTCAAGGGCAGCCTGAACTAGTGAGATCCCTTTGTCTCAAAAGGGCAAAAAGAGAGAGAGATGTGATAAGGCAAGTATAACAAAATGTTAATAGTAGAAGATTAGGTAAGTAATCACTGCAAAATTCTTTCCATATCTCAGTATGCTTGAATTTCTTCTCTTTTTTTAGTGCACACGCTAGGCAAGTTCACTACCACTGAGCTAAACTGCCAACTCTGATTTTTTTTCATAACATTTTGAGGGGAAAAATAAAATCCCATCACACTCATATTCTATTAACCTGGATGGCTAGTCCAGTGGTAGAACACTTGCATGGCATGTGCAAAGCCCTAGGTTTGATCCCTAGTACCATAAAAGTCATTATCACTTTCTAAAAAAACTTTAATCTTTGACTTTTTTTGGACCTGGGGATTGAACTCAGGCCCTCGTGCTTGCCAGGGAGAGCGCTTATTGCACTGAGCCACCTCCCTGGCCCCTTTTGACTCCCTTAAGTACTGGAGATTGAACCCAGGACCTCACATACTAAACAAGCAGTGTACCACTAAGCTATATCAGCCCTATTATTTGAGTAACTCTCTAGTATCTATAGTATAAAATGCAAACCTTGTAGCAGAAATACAAGAACTCTGGCTGGGTACGGTAACACACACCTATAATCTCAACACTCAGACTGCAGCAGGATTGCTGTGGGTTCATGGTCAGCCTGGGTTACAAAGTGAGTTCAAGTCCAGCCTGAACTAAGTAGTGAAACCCTGTCTAGAAAAGACAAAAGAAGCGAAGAAAAAAAAGAACTCCCTACTTTTTGAGCTTCTCTCTGATAACTTCCATGCCTATACCACAAAAGTCAGCATGATGAACCATTTATAGTTCTCCAGATGTACAGTTCTCTTTCTGGACTTATGAATCCTCTGCTTTGAATCCTTGCCCACAAGCCCTATGCAAAAAAAAAAAAAAAAAATTGGGTAATATATTTCCGTGCTAGACAGTTCTTGCTAGGGATCATTTAAGAGATTACAGCATGGGAAGGGCAGCTTCTGTTCTTAAAAAAGGAGAGCTGGTTCAGTCCCCGGTACCACCAAAAAAAAAAAAAAGAGAGTTGGCAAATAATTTTGCCAGGAAAGGTGGAGATTTGAAGGGGGGGGGGGGACTGTTGTGTGTGTGTGTGTGTGTGTGTGTGTGTGTGTGTGTGTATGTGTGTGTAACAGTCTCGCTTCGCAGTTCAGACTCAGTGATCTTCCTGTCTCAGCCTCCCTAGTGCTGGGATTACCAGTATGTGCTACCACACCTTGTTCTGGGTCAGCAAGAAGTGCCTGGGGTTCTAGGGCCAGCCCAGCATGCAATAGCAGGGCTCAAACTCAGGTCCTTATGCTTGCCAGGCAGGCACTTATGCTACTGAGCTGTGTCCCCAGCCCTTTTTTGTCTTTTTTGGGACAGGTCTCGCTATGCAGTTCAGGCTGGCCTTGAGCTCACTTTGTAGCCCAGGCTGATCTTGAATTTATAATGATCTTCCTTCCTCAGCCTCCCAAGTGCTGGGATTACAGGCATGTGCTACCATGTCCGGCTAAGGCTTTTGTTTTGATTTTTGAGACAAGGTCTAGAAGCCATCCTTAAACTCCTTGTGTTCTGGCTGGTCTTGAACACACCATCTGCCTCAGCCTCTCAAATGATGCGATTATAGGAATATGCCACCACATTTGCTTTGGAAAAGGAATTTTTTTTTAATGGATTTTTTTTTTTTTTTTAATGGTTACTCCAGATGCTTTCTGTCTATTTATTTATTTAGAGACAGGGTCTCACTCTGTAGCCCAGGCTCTCCTCAGACTTGTGGATCTTCCTGCCTCAGCCTCTCAAGTGCTAGGATATCAGGTGTGTTCTACCATGCCTATTTTTCAAAGGAATTTTGAAACATTATTGTTGCCCAGCATGGTAATCCCAGCTATTCAGGAGACTGAAGCAGGAGAATTTATAAGGTGGATAATTTAGCAAAGTCCTGCCTTAAAATAAAAAAGGGGAATGTAGTTCAGTGGTGGAGCAGTTGTTTAGCATCAACAAGAGATCCTGGCGTCCATCCCTAAGAACTGTTTTCAGTACTGGAGATTCCATCTAAGGCTTTGATGATACTTATGCTACATTCTTAGCCTTTTTTTTTTTTTTTTTTTTTGAGATAGGATCTTGCTGAATTGCCCAAACTGATCTGAGGTTGTTATTCTTGTGCTAACACCTTCAAGCGGGATTATAAACATGTGAAACCATGCCTGCCTAAAGCAGTCATTCTAAATGGATTGTAATTTATGTATCCCTGGAAAGCTTTAAGGAAACTGAAAGTCCATGAAGCCCTGGATTAGATCCCCAGCACCAGGAAAAAGAGGGGATGGGCTGAGAGGAGGAAGAGGATGTGGGGGAGGGGATAAGGATGAGACATGGAGGAGGAGGATGTGTTTCTCTCTCTCTCTCTTTTTTTGTGTGTGTGTGCATTTCTCTCTTGATAGAGGTCTGTAATATTCTGAAGTCTCTTTAAAAAATCCAAAGGTTAAAAACTTTTAAGAGTGGCGCTGGAGAGAGAGTTCAGTAGAATAAGTGCTTGCCTGGCAAACGCAGGGCCTGAGTTCAATCCCGGTTCCGCCAAAAAAAAAAAAGAAAAAAAAACTTTTTAAGTACCATTTGGGGGCTGGAGAGATGGCTCAGTGGTCTAAAGCACCTACTTGGAACAAGCTTGGCAAAGCACAGGGACTGCGGTTCGATGCCCCAGCACCACATGCCAGCCAGCCCCGCCCCCTGGTGAGCTGAGCTGGCCACACACACACACACACACACACACACACACTAAATAAATGTAAAAATAAATAAATAGATGATTTTTTTAAAAAAGGTTAAAAAAAAAAAAAAAAGTACCATTTGGGCTTCTTTGTACATGCAGGAAGTAGAGGCAGGAAGTTTGCAAGTTTAAATCCCACCTGAAGGGACTTTCCAGTTTAGCCAGATTCTGTCTCAAAAACTGGGATTGTAGCTCAGTGCAAAAGCCCTGGGTTCAGTCCAGCGTCACACACACACTGATATAGAGCAGAGATGTCTAAATCCTACTGCCCACTGCAACTGACAGTAATGTATGCCAGCTGACCTGAACATCAATCCTCAAAAATAACAGCCTTATCATACTGTCCTAAATTTTCTTCATAAAAAAATCCCACTAATCATATTAAACTGCTGAGGAGCCGCAGAGATAGTGCAGCAGTCTAAGCACCTGCCTGGCCAACCACAAGGACCTGGGTTTGATCCTTCTGCCAGTACCACATGCCATGCCTTCCCCACCCCAGACACACCAAGCCATCCACCAAGACCATATGTGGTGGCACACGCCTGTAATCCTAGCGCTGGGAGGCTGAAACAGGAGAATCACTACAAGTCTGACCTGCATAGTAAGACCCTGTACCAAATACATTAAAAAAAAAAAAAAAAAAAAAGTTAAACTGCTGAAAAGTTATGTTTTAACAACCTGAGCTTATCTGAATCATTTTAAGTAACTATTAAAATTATCCTGGCCAGTTACAGTTGTAACTCACTGATGGAGCACCTGCCTGGCATTTGTAAAGCCTCAATTTATACCCCAACACCACCCCTCAAAAATATAAAAATGCCTACATATCTGTATCATCTGGTCAAGAGAGTGCAAGTAAGGGTGATGCTGAGAACTAAAGTCCACCATGGCCATCTGCAGAAGCGTCCCGTGGAGGTTTGAATCCATCTGACATCTGTGGTCTCTCTGCTCTGCAGGCTCTCGTGATGGTTCTATGGGACTCTGGGAGGTGACGGATGATGTGTTGACCAAAAGTGATGCAAGGCACAATATGTCACGGGTCCCTGTGTATGCTCACATCGCTCACAAGGCCTTAAAGGACATCCCAAAGGAGGACACAAACCCTGACAACTGCAAGGTCCGGGCTTTGGCTTTCAACAATAAGAACAAGGTACAAAGTCACAAAGGGATCTGTGAAGCCTGTCCTCTTGACTTATGTCTTCAGAGGTGTGTGCTCCTTTTTCCTCCCCACGGCAGGGCTTGCTAGGTAGCTTGGTTCTGTGTCCACAGAGCACCTTTTAAAGGCTGAGTGATGCTAGTAAGAATTTGTAATGAGACTGAGACATCCCCTTTCCCTTTGATTTCTGCAGTATTGCAGTCAACCTCGTGTTTCCCTGCAGCCACCTGATTTAATTATCCCTCAATTGCACATGCCTTTGCAGGGGCTCTATTTTAGGATTTTTTCATATTTGCCTCTAAAAGCAATCACTGTTTTTGTCTTCACAGTTTAACCTATTCCTTTTCACTACCTCCTTCACTCTGTCACATAGTCTTACCTAATCATTTGTGTTAGATCTCCTGACACTGATGTCTTGAGTGTAAGAATGTAGATCCAGAGCTGGAAGAGGAGAAAGGCTTCTGCAAAATCTGAACCATGTCACAGTTGAGAGGTAGTTTTTTTAGCCTCCTGTCTCCGATCCATATTTCTGGCCGAAGGTTAAATTTGTGTCTTCTAAATGAGACCCATTACTTACTGCTTTCACATTGAGACTTAGGTACGTGTCCTTCATTTGTGTGCTCTAACAGGATATTGGGAATGATGGCATAGTGAGGATTTTTTGAACATGTGAGCTGGGGGTTCCTTCTTGCATGCAGTCTAGTGTGCTATAATCCATAGGCTAATTAGGGACAGACCTTTGAAAATCACTGTGACATGGGAATAAAGGAGAGGACTGATCATCAGGGTCTTCCCTTGCTTTCTATTACACTTCAGTTGTTATAGGTAGGGCTATAACCTGGTTTTCATTGCTCTTGTAGGAATTGGGAGCAGTATCTCTGGATGGCTACTTTCATCTCTGGAAAGCTGAGAACACATTGTCTAAGGTATAAACGTGGCTTAATATGTGGCTTTTTGAGACAGGCTCTTGGTGGCCCCCAAACTTGTTAAGATTACAGATATGTACCACCACACCCAGCTTGTACTTTAGTACTTTAATGTAACACTCAGGTCTGGCATATATCTTAGTGGTAAAGTACTTCCTAGTATGTAAAAAACCATGGGTTTGGTCCCCAACATTCCAAAATAATCATTATTTTTCCCTGAGATTTTTCATCCTAGTCTAAAAACACCCAGTTTCCTGAGTTCTAGGCACGTTCTGGCATATTACATGAAATTCAGAGTCTACAGCCAGCCCCGCCCCTGGTGGGCTGAGCTGGCCACACACACACACACACACACACACCACACACACACACACACACACACACAAATACATAAATAAAAATTTAAAAAAGAGGGGGGCTGGTGAGATGGCTCAGTGGTCTAAAGCACCTACTTAGTACAAGCTTAGCAAAGCACAGGGACCACGGTTCAATCCCCCAGCACCACATGCCAGCCAGCCCTGCCCCCTGGTGGGCTGAGCTGGCCACACACACACACACACACACACACACACAAATACATAAATAAAAATTTAAAAAAGAGGGGGGCTGGTGAGATGGCTCAGTGGTCTAAAGCACCTACTTAGAACAAGCTTAGCAAAGCACAGGGACCACGGTTCAATCCCCCAGCACCACATGCCAGCCAGCCCTGCCCCCTGGTGGGCTGAGCTGGCCACACACACACACACACACACACACACAAATAAATAAATAAAAATTTAAAAAAAGAAAAAAGAAATTCAGAGTCTAGCATGCCCTCCTTTTTGGGCACCAGGTATTGAATATAGGACCTCATGCTTGCCAGGGAGGCACTGTGCTCTTGAGCTATATCCCTGGTCTCATGGCATGCTTCTCTTGAAGGAAAGTCTTTTTAAAGAAATTGGAAAGTGACTAGGGAGATAGCTCACTAGTCTTAAGCATCTGCCTGGCAAGCGCAGGGACCTGGGTTCAATCCCGGGACCACGTGCTATCAGCCCTGGAACCCCAGGTGTACCATGCGAGCCACTGAAACCAGGTATGGTGGCACACACCTGTAATCCCAGCACTGGAGAGGCTGAAACAGGAGGAACACTATGAGTCTGAGCTGCATAGCAAGACTCTGGAGCTAATTAATTAAATGATTTTAAAAAAATAAAATGAGATTGAAAGAGCTAGGCACAGTGGCACATGCCTATAATCTTATCATCTGGGAGGCTAAGACAGGAGGAGCATTTTGAGTGCTACCTGAGCAATTTAGCAAGACTGTTTTAAAAATAATTTTCAAAGGGGGCTGCGAAGGGCCAAGGATACAGCTCAATGGCATAAGTGTCTTGCCTAGCAAGCGCAAGGTCCCAAGTTTGATCCCTAGTACTGCAAAAAGGGGGAGGGGGCTAAGAAGCAGGGCATGTTGGCACATACCTATAATCCCAACAGCCAGGAGATTGAGGCAGGAGGATTGCTGCTAGTTCAAGGCCATTGTGAGCTATGTAGTGAGTTGAAGGCCAGCCTGAACTATAGTGAGATCTTGTCTGAAAAACAAATATTTTTTAAAAGAGCTATGAGCTGGCTGTGGTGGCACAGGTTTATAATCCCAGTAGTTGGGAGGCTGAGGCAGAGGATTGCCACAACTGCAAGGTTAGTGTGGGCTACATAGTTCAAGATGAGCCTGAATTATATAGCAAAACCCTATATCAAAAACCACCTGCTTAGGCAAGCACAGGGACAGGGGTTGATCCCCAGCAGGCACCACATGCAAGTGCTGGCCCTACCCCTGGGCACACTGAGCCAGCCACTGAGACCGGGCGTGGTGGCACACACCTGTAATCGCAGTGCTGGAGAGGCTGAAAACAGGAGGATCGTTACGAGTCCAAGCTACGTAGTAAGACCTGTACTAAATATAAAAACAAACCAAAAAAAAAAAAAAAAAAAAAAAAAAAAACCCACAAAAACAAAATTGAAGGATGGGATGGCTGATAATGTACCTCTGTGTGCAGGCCCTGGATTTAATCTCTTGTACTACATCAAAAAGAAAAAGAATAGAAAGAGGTTATTTTTACAGACTGCTTTAACTAGAAGTCCTCTAGCCCACACTATATTTAAGTATTTGTTTATTGATTGTTGATTGCCTGATATATTGTTAAGACAGGAAAACTTAAATGTTAGGAGCCACTAGGGACTGAAGATAAACCATGTCTGAAATAATCATGTGAGATAATGAGGTAACTGATTTAATTAACAAGTAGTACAAATAGCTTTTTCATAGTTAAGTCTACATTTGAATCATTTACCCTTATCTCCCCTCAGAGGCCTTTACTACTTGCTACTTCTCCAAGTTTTTCATAAGAGGAGGCAGAACTGGGTGTGGAGACATAATGACCGTGTTACCCAGTCCCATCTTCGTTTCCAGGATTTTCTTGTCTGGAACAGTAAATTGAACACAACAAGCAAAAACAATGACAAAGTTTATTTGAAAAAGTAAAAGTGAAGGGAGGATAAGGGGGAAACAGGCTCTGCAGAGTGAACGTAGGTCAAATAAAAGAAAGAAAAAAGTACCCCCTGCTGAACACAGGCAGGCTACCATGAGGAAAGCCATGGTAGCAAGCTCTTTGTAGCAACTGTGTTTTTTGTGCCATCCACACCTCACAGGAGCCCTTTGAGAACTTCTACATATGGGGTCCTGAGAGGCAGTGCGGGGTAGATTCTAGGATTCCACCACACCTCTCTTCCCAGCCAGTCTAAGCTATGCCCTATTTCCTATTTCAGCAGCGGGAGTCCTAGGCAGGAGACCTACTGGTTGCTGGAGAGCCACCCTGGGCGGCATAATGTCTCAGTTAATTTTCTATCCTTGATGGGACAAAATACCCAACAACCAGAATTAAGGAAGAAAAGGCTTATTTAGCTCACAGTTAGCGAAGGTGTCCGTCCATACTCAGCTGGCTCCAAGGCAGATGGCACATGGCAAAGGGCAGTAGCTCATGGCAGCGGAAAACAGCAAAACAACAAGAGCAAAAGAGAGTAGTGGCAACAGACAGCAAGTCTGTCTCCCTTAAGTTGCATTCAGGCTATCTGCCCTAGGCTAGGTGTAGTACTCAGACCCATAATCCTAGCAGCATTCTACACCCATAATCTAAGCACTGAATCATGAATTAATCACTTAACTGTAGAAGTCTGCCCCATAATTGCATGAGGCTTTGGAGGGACAGCTAGACACAAACCATAACACATAGTGAATTCAAGGCCAGTCTCGATTAGTGGTACAATACCTTACCTCAAAAAGGGGCAGGGTTGGGGGAGGATATAACTCAGTAGCTCGCAAAGTCCCGAGTTTGATTACCCGTACAGAAAAAAACAAACAAACAAAAAACACAGAAGTGGTGGTATGCACCAGTAATCCCAGTACTCGGGAGGCTGAGACAGAGGGATAGCTGTGAGTTCAAGGCCAGCCTGAGCTACATAAGTGAGTTCAAAGCCAGTGTGAACTGCATGAGACCTTGTCTCAAAAAGACAGAAAGAGCCCCACAGGGATATAGCTCAGCAGCACAGTACCTTTCCGCAAGTACAAGGTCCTTAGTTTGATTCCTGTACCCAAAAAAAAAGAAAGAAATGAGCTCCAGAATAGATTATTGGTGCCAGAAAGAAGCGCCTGCCTGGCAAGTGCAAGGACCTGGGTTTGATACTCGGTACCATCTGCTGTGCTGGCCCCAGAACCCCAGGTGCACCATTGCTGAGACAGGAGGATTGCTATAAGTTGGAGCTGTGTAGTGAGAGCTATACCAAATAAATAAAGGGTTTAAAAAAAAAAAAAAAAAAGCTCTCAGGCAGCAATCTAAAGAACTGCACAAGGCAAAGTTTACAGCTTACTCTTGCAGAAGGATACAGTTGTGCCCAGACCCAGGGCAGGTCCACCAAGCAGGTAGAGAAGGGATCTGTTTAAGTCTTCATTCATTGGAAGCAGCTATCCTTTAAATTCATTGGCTGAATTCAAAGCTTACAGTCTATGGCAGCTGGCTAGTTTAAGCTGCACAATGGGAAGATCTGAAGTTACAAAAGGGGAAACAGAAAGTCCTTGGCTCTTGATAAGCTATTTTGGTCTGTAACTGTGTTTCCAGAATTTAAACTGAACAGGCATTTCTCAATAATTCCAATGTGGGGGCCGGGGAGATAGCTCAGTGGAATAAGCACTTGCCAGGGCCTGATTTCAATCCCTGGTTCCGCAAAAAAAAAAAAATAATAATAATAATAATAATAATTCCAATGTGTTTAGGGATGGCCGCTTAGGTTGGTCTAGAGTGTTAAGATGGAGGCACTCCTGTTTATATCCTTTGATAGAAAAGATAGAACCAAAGGTTCTCACAAAAGGAAGGAGGGCTCTGGGAAGTAGTGATTCCCTATAACAGAGCAGCTCGAAGCTTGTCTGACTTTGCATGGTGTCTGATGTGCAGTAGTGCCCACTAACAATTTGTGAGGTGACAAGGATCCAGGTTTAAGGCTGCCTCAGGTTATTTGGGTTAACTCAGGCAGGAGTGTGCTTTGTTATGTACAATTGCCATTCAACTGAGAGTCAGGCGATAGGGTAGCTAGAAATCAGCCCCTTTATGAGAAGGGCATTTGTCTCTTCCTGCTGACAGAATGGGGTGGAACCTTGGCATTAGTGTCCTGTGGTTATTCCTGGAACAACCGGTAGGTCTTTCCCTTTCCTGGCTTTTCTCATTATTTAATTTCAGGTTTACATTTTTCCTTAAGCAGAGGTTCCTTTTTTAAAAAGAGTGCTGGAATCATAAGTGTGTGCCGCCACACCCAGCAGGTTTTTCCTTAATCATGTTTGTCCTTTTCTCTGACCTCATGCAGCTATACATGAAGGAGACCCACAGTGGCAGGAGTCCAAGCAAAAAGCTCCTGCCTTAAGCACTTTGGCTTACTGTGGTTACATCTCTCTTCACTCTTTTCAGCTCCTCTCCACCAAGCTGCCATATTGGCGGGAGAATGTGTGTCTGGCCTATGGTAGTGAATGGTCAGTGTATGCGGTGGGCTCCCAAGCTCATGTCTCCTTCTTGGATCCACGACAGCCCTCAAACAGTGTCAAGTCTGTGTGTTCCCGGGAACGAGGCAGTGGTAAGTCCTATGTGTCCTTTGTGGACTAGCAGATTCGTTGCAAATGGGTCTTTGCCTTCATTTTCTATGTTTGTTTTCAAATAAGTGTAGTGGCAGTTGGGGAGATAGTTCAGCGGCACAGCACCTGCCTGGTGAGCACAAGGTCCTGAGTTCAATTTCTGGTCAAAAAAAAAAATCAACTAAACAAGTATGGTGATGGATATGTATAACATGGAAGTAGTTGCTAACTCAGAGATGAGCTTAAATACCAGTATATGGCAGCAGAGATTCAGATACCATAGGAGCTTTTGCTGAAAACCACCAGTCAGGACATTGCTGATTTTTCACTAGGGTCCTGCCTGAATTAAAGTTCTTTTGGTGGGGCCGGGGAGATGGCTCAGTAAGATAAGCGCTTGACTGGCAAATGCAAGGATCTGAGTTCAATCCCCGGTTCCACAAAAAAAAAATAAAATAAAGTTCTTTTGGGGTGGGGAGGTAGCTCAGCTGTCTAAGTACCTGCCTGGCAAACACAAAGATCCAGGTTTGATCCCTGGTACTGCGTGCCAGCCACTGAAACTGGGTGTGGTGGTGCACACCTGTAATCCCAGTGCTGGGGAGACTGAGACAGGAAGATCACTTTGAGTCCCAGCTACATAACAAGACCCTGTACCAAATAAATCTTCAAAAAATAATAATAAGGTCTTCAAGATACCTTAGCAGACTAAAGTGCCTGCTTAGGCAAGTGCAGGTTCAGTCCCTAGCCCCATATGCTGTGACTGCCCCATCCCCAGGATGGGCTGAGCTGGCAAAAAAATAATAATAAAGTTCTTTTTACAGCTGGGCGTGGTGGTGCACATCTGTAATCCTAGCACTCTGGAGACTGAGGCAGGATGATTCCTGTGAATTGAAGGCCAACCTGGGCATCATGAGCAAGTTGAAGGCCAGGCTAAACTACATTGTGAGACCCTGACTCAAAAAAAAAAGATTCTGTTTGTATGAAGTGTTGGCATGGTGGATTTAAGGATTTTACAAGAAGGCATGAAGATACTTTTAGGGATGATGATTATGTTCATTGTTTTTGTGGTGATGGTGTCATGGATGTATACATGTTATTATACCCTCAGATTGAGGCTAGAGGTGTAGATCAGGGTAAAATTGCTATCCTAGCACACAGAAGGACCTGCTTCAATCCTAGCACTGAAAAAAATCTCTCACATTTTTGTTTTTCTTTTACAGTCTGTGAATTAAACTCGGAGCCTTCAAACTAAGCTACACAGGGCCAGCCAGATAGTTCAGCAGACTAAAGTGCCTGTTTAAGCAGAGCACAGCAGCTGGGGTTTGATCTTCAGTGTGCTGTGCCAGCCCTGCCCTCCTGGGGAGTGCTGAGATGGTGACTGAGACTGGGCATGGTGGCACATGCCTGTAATCCCAGCGCTTGGGAGGCTGAAAACAGGAGAATCACTATGTATGAGTCTGATCTATGTAGTGAGACCCTGTAGACCCTGTACTAAAAATACTTTTTTTTTTTTTTTTTCAGTACCAGGGATTGAACTCATGACTCTGTGCTTGCCAGGCAAGCACTTATTCTACGGAGCTATCGCCCCGGCCCTTAACAATACATTTAAAAAAGAAAAGACTAAGCCACATCCTCAGCTCCTTTTTATTTTTTGAGACAGTCTCACTAAATTGTCCAGGCAGGACTTGAGCTTGAGATCCTCTCAGTGTGCTAGGATTATAAGTGTGCACCTCAATCTCTAGCTTCACATTTTATACTTAAATATTTACATTATATATGACAGTTGAACTTAACACTGGGTAAGTCAGGCTTACACATCCGGTCTTTTATACCATATTTTAAGAGTACCTGATTCTTTATTGGAGGAATATAAATATACACTACATGTTTGTAGTGTACTTGAAGGTCTCAAAATACCTTTTTTTTAAGCCAGATATGGTGTCATATGCACTTGGGAGGCCAAGGCAGGAGGATTACTGTTGAGTTCCAAAACCAGCCAGAACTGCATAACAAGACCCTGTCTCAAAAGCAACAACAAAAACACAAGATACCTTTTTCTGACATCTTATTTCATCCTGTTGAGAATCCCTCAGAAAGCATGTAGGAAATGAGTATTAGTCCCAGCTACTAAGAAGGCTGAGGCAGGAGGATCACTTAATTCCCAGGAATTTAAGGCTACCCTGGGCAGCATAGTAAGACCCCATTTTAGCCAATCTGTAGCAGTCCCATCACTTGGGAAGCTAAGGCAGGAGGATCAGCATGAATTCAAGTCCAACCTGTGCTACCCAGTGAGTTAAAGGCCAACTTGAACTATATAGGAAGACAGTGTCTCAATACCACATCCCCAAAATGAGAAGGGAGGGAAGGGAGAGAGAAGAAGGGGTAGGGGAGAAGGAGGGAGGGAAGGGAGGTCGAAGAGAGAACATGCGCACTACCTAAGAGAGTGAAGCAAGAAAACCACAAATTTCAGGCTAGACTAAAACTTGGTTTAGCAGGACTGTTATCTCAAAATAAATAAAAAGGACTGAGTATATAGATTTTCCTGCCTGAGCCTTCTGAGTACTGGTATTACAGGTGTTTCCTACTATGGTATCACAGTTTGATGAGGCACAGCAAGGGATTAGAATCTAGATCATATAGTTTAACAAAGTATTTTCTTTCTATCTTTTTAAAATCTAACTCAGGAGGTCTGCCCATTAGCTCAGTTGTTTAAGTGCCTGCTTCATTAAGTAAAGCAGTCAGACTCAGAATAATTCTGTGGTTCAATCCCCAGATCCTCATGCCTTACCAGACGTGCCCTTAAGGCATCCTGAGCCAGAAAAAAAAAAAAAAAAAAAATCCTTCTAAAATCAAACTCTTTCCTTTCTTTTTTTTATTTTTTAAAATTTTTTTGAGGTACAGCACTGGGAATTTAACCCAAGCAGCACTAAACTATATCCCCAGACTTTTTCTGCTTCGTTTTTCCTTTTGAGACCCAGTTTGGGCTCAAGCTTGGAATCCTCCTGTCTCAGCCTCCTGAGTAGCTGGGGTTACAAACATGCATCGCCATGCTGCCTATTTGTTTATTTTGCCTATTTATTATTTTAGACACAGTTTTAATATGTCTTGAACTATGTCATCCAGGCTGACCTCAAATTGATATCCTTCTATCTCAGCCTCCCAAATACTGGAATTACAGGCTTGTATCACATACCCAGCTCCTGTTTTACAGGTTTTTTTGGATGAAGTTTCGCTGTATGTTTTTGTTCTTGTTGTTGTTTCTTTGGGGTTTTTTTGTTTTGTTTCGTTTTGTTTCAGGTACTGGGGATTGAACTCAGGACCCTGCAGTCATTCTACTGAGCTATCTCCCCAGCCCCGGCTATACATTGAGGCTACCCTTGAACTTGCTTTGTAGCCCAGGATGGCCTTGAACTTGCTTTTTGCATTGATCATCGTGCCTCAGCCTCCCTCTTTAAATTTTATTGAGATGCTCATGTTTTAGAATGAAGGATTAAAAAAAAAAAAGAATGAAGAATAATGAAAGTAGTTTAGGGAAGGAATAAATAAACATGGCTGGAATGACATGTAATGACAAGTTTTTAAGAGAGTTTGGCTCTTGTTAATGTTAGCTTTATATTTAATGAAGGAATATTGGTTCCACAAATATTTTGAAGCTCCTTGTGCATGCCAAGAGCTATTCATTTAATTGGTACAGTAGATGTATGTTCTTAATAACCCAAAGTTAAGTAGCATGTCTTAAGTTCATGCTATGAGTGAATTTATGGAATGCTTAAATACTAGGCTTTTTTCCCACCATCATAATGTACTTAATGTCAGATAAAGACTTACAGTAGTGTTAGTGCTTTTAGGTTAAATACAAAGAAGTCCTTGTTGATGTAATGATTTGTAAATACACAGATTATCCTGAGTCACAGAGTAGTTCGGTAGCATATAATGGACAAGAGCTGACAGTTATGGCAGATAGCTTGACAGTGACTCAAGGGAGATAGGGAAGTTCTGGATACACACATTCTTGGGCCAAAAGCATCTTTGGGGCTGGAGAGATGGCTCAGTGGTCTAAAGCACCTACTTGAAACAAGCTTGGCAAAGCACAGGGACCGCGGTTCGATCCCCCAGCACCACATGCCAGTCAGCCCCGCCCCCTGGTGGGCTGAGCTGGCCACACACACACACAATAAATAAATGTAATAAATAAAAATAAATAATTTTTTTTAAAAAAAGCATCTTTGGCATCATTAGGAATCTAGCTTGGTGGAGGGTTGTCAGAGAGTTCCTGTTAGTGAATATGAGCTGCTTTCAACCATTGGGCAACATCATCTGATAGCTGGGTATGCAATGCAGACTCAGCATTGGAAAAATTCAGTTTAGCAGACCTTCGAGCACGTGCTCTTTTTCTCATGCCCTTCACTTTTCTTTCCTAGGGATCCGGTCAGTGAGCTTCTATGAGCACATTATCACTGTGGGCACAGGGCAGGGCTCCCTGCTCTTCTATGACATCCGAGCACAGAGATTTCTGGAAGAGAGATTCTCATCTTGTTGTGGGTCCAAGCCCAAGCTAGCAGGGGAAAATCTGAAACTAACCACTGGCAAAGGTTGGCTGGTGAGTAAGCCCTCACTTGAGATAGTCACTGAGCAGTAGCAGAAAGATGTCCTTCCTTTAACACCCGTTCCTGCCCTATTGATGTACCACCCTCAATTTTTTATTATTAAAAGGCACTCCATGGTGCCAAGAAAGACACTTTCTCCTAAACTTGCTTTTGTGTCTATGAGTGAGAGTATTCACGGAATGCTTAAGTACTAGGCTTTTTTCCCACCATCATAATGTACTTAATACCAGATAAAGACTTACAGTACCATGCTAATGCTTTTAGGTTAAATACAAGGAAGTCCTTATTGATGTAACAATTTGTAAATACAGAGATTATGCTGAGTCACAGAGTAGTTTGGTAGCATATAATGGATCTACAGGAAAACAGATGCCCAGTAACATATACTAGACCTCCCCCAATGGTAATAGGGTAAGAAAGATAAGGCATTTCCTGCCAAGAGTGCTAGTGGATTATACAGTTTGGTACTTGGAACCAAAAAACCTGTACTTTGCGTAGCAACTCTTCAACCTTCTCAATTCTGCTCTAATGTTTAGTTGGAAAAGTGAGGCCCTGGGCTGGGGAGATAGCTCAGCGGACTGAATGCCTGCCTGGCAAGCGCCAGGTCCCAAGCTCAATCCTGATACTGCATGCCATGCCAGCCCTGGAACCCAGAGGCACTGTGCCAGCCACTGAAACCATATGTAATGGCACACGCCTGTAGTGCCAGCGCTGGAGAAGCTAAAACAGGATCACTATGAGTCTAAACTGCATAACGAGACCCTATGTCAAAGAAAAAAAAAAAAAAGTGAGGGCCCGTTCCTTGGAGAAGCAATCTCCTTTCATCACTTATAAGTGGAGGACTGTCTTATGGAGACCAGAAAACATTCCTGTTCCTTCCTGTCCACTTTCCTTCCCTGTAGCCTAAAGGTCTAACACTTCCTTTCTCTTTCTGTAGAATCATGATGAAACCTGGAGGAATTACTTTTCGGATATTGATTTCTTCCCCAACGCTGTTTACACCCACTGCTACGACTCGTCAGGAACGAAACTCTTTGTGGCAGGAGGTCCTCTCCCTTCAGGGCTTCATGGGAACTACGCTGGGCTCTGGAGTTAATGACAACTGTCTCCCAAAATGCAAATTTACACTAACATTCATCCTTGGTTTCCTTGTTCTTCTGATTTGTTTTCTTCTGATTGTGTGAAGCTTTTCTGTTTTAGTGGAAATACCAAGTTTGCTAGTGGTTTAAGCACCCAGTAGGAAGACAATTTGTATAGATATGCAGAGGGTGTTTTTTGTTTTTTGGTTTCTTTTTTTCTTCTTTTTTTCCCATCTGGTTCTCTGTTTTGTCATTTTTTTTCCTTTTTAACTTCTCAACCAAACATTTTTGCAAATCTTGTTTGTATTTTTTCTTAAGAGACACAGCCTCTTCCCTCTTTGGCTTCATTCAGCTGAAATGACATGGTCATTCTCACCCTTACTTCACTCTTGAGAAGTAGGGCTCCTTTATAATTACGAGGTAGCGATCAGACTTTCTATGAAAGTCTGGGAGCTGTGTGTGTGCGCGCGCGCGTGTGCGTGTGAATTTGTGTGCCTATAGGTACTGTGTCACTGAAATTACCTGGAGTGAAGATTACTTGTAATTAAATATTTATAAAAGAAACAACTTTATTCAGGGTCCAGCTTTGGGACTGGTTTGTATCTTTTTTCTAAAGTGTAACAACATGATAATAGAAAGTAAAGCCAGAAAAATATCACTACTGGGAATACTTTTTTGAATTGGATTTCCGAGTACTTGTAGGTTCCCATACCAGGACTCTGAAGTGATCTGCACCTACCTACCTTCATACCTCTCTGTTTACTGAGTGAGTACACTTAGGTTTATATGTCACTTCTTGGCACCCTGCTATCTACTTAATGTCCACTTCCCTAAAACATTATTAATGCAGCTCTGGAGGCTGTGGAAAGATTTGGCAGAGAGAAATGAATCCCAGTCTCCCTCTCCCTACCCTCAAATAAGAGCCAGCAGGGGAGCGGGTCTCAAGTATGTTACGATTCCCATACATAAAGCCAGGTGTGGTGGCACATGCCTATAATCCTAGCACTTTTGGAGGCTGAGACAGGAGGATCCTTGTAAGTTTGAGACCAGCCTGGGCTACAAAGTGAGCTCAATGCCAGTCTGAGCTGCATACAGAGACCCTGTCTCAAAAAGAAAAAGAAAAAAAAAAAAAAGTTTCCCATACATAGTTCCCTTGGCTTTGAGGAGAAACTTCTCTGCCGTTCTTCCAGTCTCCTCAGTGAGTTTTGCTGCTGTCTTCTAAACTGGAGGGTGGGGTTGTCTGTGTGGTGTAGTGAGTGCTTCCTGTGTGGAGTGTTTATTTTCTCAGTGCAGTGGAACTCAGGGCTGGAGTCCCCTCTCTTCCTCTGCTGACTTGGCCCTAGTATGGTGATAAGGTGGCCTGTAACCAGCATCCTGCATGTAACACCATCAATATGATCAGTGACATGTCTAAACCTCTCTTGAATTGTTTAGTCTGAGGTTTTTAAGCTTGCAGGCAACTGACTGTAGTGTCCAGTTGTTCCCTGCTTTTTATACATCACATTGAAGATAATAACTTTTCCTGCCCAGATTCCTCTTAGCAAATACACTGCTTCTGTCAGTGTCCCAAGCTGGGGAATGGAAAGTTTATGTTTATTCCTGTACCCCAGTGTCTGAGTTGCTCTCTCAGTTATCCCCCTCTTCCCTGGATGTAGGAGGGGAGATTGGAAATAAGAGTACTGTGCAAAAAAAAAAAAAAAAAAGTACTGTGCATAACGTTGAGGACTGGTGGGTGAGGTGAACAGTCTCTCCTGCATTGGTGGCACACACCATACACCACTAACTCTGAAACTTTTACTTTCTAACCTAGAGAAATAGGTGCTATAAACAAGGAATTAAGCAAAATGCTGGATGCTGGAAATCTTTTGTCTTAATTTTTTTTTTCTATTGTTAAACTACAGGCTGTAGATTTCTTAGTTCTCACAGAACTTTCTTATTTTAAACTGACTTGTATATTTAAAAAAAAAAAAAAAAAAAAAAAACCTCTTAAGTAGGATGTTTTGTACTGTTGTCAGACCCTCTTCTGTAATGGCTAATATGTTTGATCATTTGAGATTTTCTGTTTTTAAAAATGTACCATTTGAATTTTTGCCAAGGAAAAAATAAATATTACTCTAGTGATCTGAGTGAGTCTGTGTCTTCTGGGGCTGCTTGGGAACTGATTTGGAGGTGCACTGGGATTACTCAGGGCAGTAGGAGGACACAAGTTCCCTAAGGTTTAGGGGCAGGGATACAGCTGTTAAAGCCTGCTTTCTCCTGGGCCCCAGCTCTGGCCCAACATCAGTAGCTCTGGGATCCAGTTGAGCATGACGCTAAAGTAGTATGCCTGAAAGAAAACAGGCTGAGCATGCCAGCGGAGGTGCTTGTCCTTGCTCTGCTTTGATTTTTTTTTTTTTTTCCTTTTTTATGTATTTGGTACAGGGTCTCACTATGCAGCCGTGACTCATTGATCCTCCTGTTTTTCAGCCTTCCCATTGCTAGGATTACAGGTGTGCACCACCGCACCCAAATTTGCCTACTCAACATGCCCTGGGGGTGGGGCCGGAGTGGCATGCCAGACCAGGGATCAAGCCCTCATCACTGTGCTTGCCAAAGCAGGCACACTTACTTTGCTGAGCTAGCTTGCCAGCCATGTTTTTGTTCTTTTGAGAGGGTCTTGCTGTGTAGTTCAGGGAGCCTTGAACTCATTGTGTAGCCAGGTGTGGTAGCACACACGTATAACCCCAACTCTCAGAAGGGTGAAGTAGGAGGATTGTTGTGAGTTGGAGACCAGTTAGGGCTACAAAGTTAGCTCAAATACTATCTCAAAGAGACAAGCATAGCCTAAGTCCTCAGGGTTCCTCCTCCTAGGTGCTAGGCTTAGGGGTGTCCTCAGCCACGTGGCTCTTTGAAGAGCATGGTACTAGCTCCTCTTGCATTAGGGTTAGTTGATAGGTCCTTTCTATATCAATGAGTGGCATCTCAAAAATGACTGTGAAGTGATTACACAGTGCTCTGGGCATAGGATGCAATTGTTTACAGCTGGAACTTCGCTGCTCTTTGTAAGGAGTGGATGTGGAGATAATGTTCCCAGAGCCTGTTTGGGGCTGTAGCTGAGAGTAGCCTACTGCTGACATAATCAAAGGCTGCAAGTCAAGGAGAGTGAAAGAGTTGAAGCAATTTGAGTGGGCTTCCAAGGGAAGCTATACAAGGGACAGGGACTAAAACAAGCTTTTTCTGTAATAAGTTTAGAAGACCAGCTCCTAGAAAGTATTGCTTGCCAGGCATGGTGGCACACTCCTATAATCCTAGCAGCACTCAGGAGGCAGAGGCAGGAGGATCATTGAGAGTTTGAGACCAGCCTAGACTACAAAGTAACAAAGTAACTTAAGACCAACCTGAACTGCATAGTGAGACCCTGTCTCAGGACAAAAGCAAAAGTAAAAGTGTATTGGTGCTTGCACAATGTACCATGTTTTTTTTTTTTTTTTTTGAAATGCAGATTGAAAACAATACATGTTGGTAATTACTTTGGGACTCGTGCTCCCTAGATAATGCTCAGAGGGAGGTGACTTAGGGGTGGTGGGATGCACTGGTCTGGCCCTCTAGCCTTATTGGAATCTTGATCTTGCACCCTGACAGCTACATTTTCCAGCAAAACAAATATCTCAGAAGGGCTTTGGAGGGGCTGGTGAGATGGCTCAGTGGTCTAAAGCACCTACTTAGAGCAAGCTAAGCTAAACAAAGCACAGGGAC